CCATCTATCGGCTAACATATAGTAACGATGCGCGGTCGAACTAAATTAATCGCGTTATTTAAATGATTAACACGATATGCATTACAATTCTTAATTTTTCAAATATAGAACAAAATATAAGACAAATATAAAGCAAAATATGCTGCTATTTTTTTTTAATATGATATATTTAACGCGCCGTTAACCGATTTTGTCTTTAACGGTCTGTTGATACTTTCAGAATAAATTTAATATTTTGTTAATTTACAATGACCGAATTTATTATGCATCTCGTCTAATTAATATTTCTATTGTTTTAAAAACCTGTCATTATTCGTTCAATATCATCTAAATCTTTTTCTTTATATAATTTTACCTATTTCTATATGCTGCTATCCGATATTTTTAGATTATTCGATTGCAGGTTATTGACAGTTGTCGGCCATTGCTGTCAATAATGCGCGTGCAGCAAAGTATAGAGATATTAGGTGTGTGAATTAATTCGGTCCGTTGTTTTCTTCCAAAAAAAGATTTTAGTGTGAAAAAACATAAAAAAGTACACTAATCAAAGTATTTGCCATCGTTTGCTATTAGTTTATCCCATCTGTATGGCAGTTGTTGTATTCCGTGATGGAAAAACGATTCGTCCTTCGAAGCGATCCATTCAATGAGACATTTCTCTATTTCTTCATAATTGTTGAAGTGCTGGTCCGAAAGCCCGTGTGCCATCGATCTGAACAAGTGATAATCGGATGGAATGTCCGGTGAATACGGCAGGTGAGGTAAAACGTCCCAGCCAAGTGCTTCCAAGGTGGCCTTCACAATCTTTCCAACATGTGGCCGAGCGTTATCGTGCAGGAAGATCACTGTGTCGTGTCTCTTTGCATATTCCGGCCGCTTATTCTTCAATGTATTGTTTAAACGGATCAATTGTTGTTGGTAAAGTTCGGCAGTGATGGTTTGGCTCTGTTTTAATAGCTCATGATGCACTACACCCTTCTGGTGCCATCATATACAGAGCATTACTTTCTTGCCGTGAATATTCCGCTTTGGTGTCGATGAGGATGGTTTTCCTGGGTCGCAAATGGATTTCCTTCGTTTGGGAGGGAGGGGGAGAGGAGGGAGGGGAGAGAGGGGGAAGAGGAGAGAGGGAAGGGGGAGAGAGAGAGAGAGAGGTGGAGGGTGTTCCGCGCGGCGAAGCAAAGACCGTCTCGAGATCTCGAAATTAGGCGAAGATACGGTCTTTCACGTATCAGTTCGCTAAACGCTAAAATAACGTGAAAAACGCTTGTCTGATTCGCCACGGATCGACTAGCTCGCTTAACGGTAGAGGGGCAGGGTCTTTGGAAAAGTTAATTATTTTATGCGAGGTTCGACAATTTTGAAGTTCGACAGACACAACGGAATTCGACAGTCACGAAGGGTAACACTTAAATAAATTACGCGAACTAATAAAGAAAAATATAACACATTTATTAAAAAGAAAATAATGTAAAAATAAAAGAAATAAATTAAAAAAAACAAGAATAATAACAAGAAGTTTGGAAATTTGAAATAACGAAATATATAACAGATATTAATTCGACAGCGGTAATAATAATAAATCGGATGGATCGAATGTTTGCCCGAAATCGATAACATAAGAAAGCGCTAAGTTATTCCTGGTATTTATTCTAGCTCGTTTTTATGGCTAGGCTCTGCGAGGTCGATCGGCGTTTCGAAAACGTAACGGAAACTCGACAATCAGATCGTCGACTAATTGTACAAATCTTTTCCCTTTTTCTCTTTTAATCGCTACTCTAATCGACAGTCATATGTTCGACAGAATACGCAATAATGGAGCGAGAACAATTAATTGATTTGCGAAGACGGGAATTCTCGCGACGAGCACAGTCGATGTGATCGATAATCGACAGCCGTCGGACATCGCTTACTTTCTTCTCGGCGTAACGCTTTTTATTACTTACGCGAATCTCTCAAATTTCTTAATTTATCATAATTCATTACGCACCGCGACATACTCAAACACACGACAAATCTTACGAAATAGGCGCTAAGCATACACGTAATAAGCGCGACAAAGACCGAACAATAGTCGCAAAAAGTTACGATACACAACGGTTAACACATTCACGCTAATTAATAATGAAAATTGCCCGACGATCGATTGCAGGGATGCCTTACGCGGTTTCGACAACTTTTCGACAGCACATATAGCGAACGCATTCCCCACGATTTACCGCGCACGTGGTTGATATATGAAAGCCGCTTGCTACGCGTTTTATGACACCCCGAATCCCGGAGAGACAAACGATATCTTATCAACTATGGCCGACATTACGATCGTCCTTGCTACCTCGGTCGCTTGTCTCCGGTCGCCCGAAATACGAAAATCGAAAGCTCGGGCGAGTACAAAGCCCGAGCGACAACGAAACACGAAATTGGCGACAGAGCGGCCGGTCTACGGACGGAATCGCGTACGTGGCTTACAAGTTAGCGAAGGACAACCACACCGATATTTGCTCCTGTGGCCAGGAGATGTTCCTCGGTTCGTCCTCTTGCTCTGACTTCGACGACGACACGCTTAACGACAACGATTTTTCAGAATACTTTCGGAAAACGACTGCTGTTATCGAGCGCTCGCATCAGAATGAGTCCGAGTGATCTCGCGATCCAGAATCGATAGCAGTCAATTCCTGCGCGCAGGGGTGCGCGGATTCGCGGCCAATAGCGCCACGACACGCGAGGTATCAATGCGCCCTGTGACAACGCCATATTGGGGGCCGCAACAATCCCGAACGTTTGAAAATTTTGCTGTTGACGACCCGGCTATCGGCGGTCCTTTTGAGGCCTATCGTCCGTCTTCCATCCTTGGAGGGTAGCGCCGACCGAGTTCTGTTCTCTCGATTCACAGCTTCTTTCCCATCTGGCGGTTGAAGCGGATTTCGCCCTCGACTTTGCGCTGTCCCGCTCTTCGGACGCTATCTCCGCTCTCGATTAGAAAGTTGGGCGCAGGTCGGCTGTCGCAAAAATTCCTCTTGTTCTTCCTTGGCGTGCGCTCCGATGGATTGCCCAATATACAAAATAAACAATAAAAAGAAATTAATAATAAGGGGAAATACAATATCGTCTCTCCGGAGACTCCGATACGACTCTCACAATCTTTTCTTTGACGCGGCTGCTCGGCTCGCGCACTGTCAGGTTTCCTGGGCGGATGGACGCCCATCGAGACGGCAACGTCACAATATATATATATATATATATATATATATATATATATATATGTATATACCAATATACAGGGTCTACCAAAAGTGTGGAAACCCCTAAATATCTCGGAAAATATACGTTTTACAGAAAAGTGTTTCCAACAAAAGTTGTAGGGTTTAAGAAGATCTATATACTGATTCTATCAGTTTGACCTTGGATGGCGTCGTCAAGGTCAGGTCAAGGTCACATTGACTTTTTTAAATGACACCCCCTACATTTGATTGCATATTCTTATAGCTTAATTCAAGAGCTTTCCAAAACACTATAATAATGTTCATTTTTATTAAGTACTTTGCGAGTTATGAGGGTTGAAATAATTTCTTAATTTTACATAAACCATAAAATATCTAGTAAACCATTCATTTTTCGATTATCTTACCTTCATACTTTTATGTACAAAATAATGAAAGGAATCAATTGGTGTAAAGAAAACATACAGTTGTTTTTAAGAAAAAATATGGAATTGTTAATTGCAAATTACATATTTTTTCTTAGAAACAACTATGTGTTTTCTTTACACCAATTGATTCCTCTCATTAATTTGTACATAAAAGTATGAAGGTAAGATAATCGAAAAATGAATGGTTTACTAGATATTTTATGGTTTATGTAAAATTAAGAAATTATTTCAACCCTCATAACTCGCAAAGTACTTAATAAAAATGAACATTATTATAGTGTTTTGGAAAGCTCTTGAATTAAGCTATAAGAATATGCAATCAAATGTAGGGGGTGTCATTTAAAAAAGTCAATGTGACCTTGACCTGACCTTGACGACGCCATCCAAGGTCAAACTGATAGAATCAGTATATAGATCTTCTTAAACCCTACAACTTTTGTTGGAAACACTTTTCTGTAAAACGTATATTTTCCGAAATATTTAGGGGTTTCCACACTTTTGGTAGACCCTGTATATATACCAATATTCTTATTAACTGAAGCGTTTCTAATTTATTAAATTTTACAATTGTAACTTGTTATATATATTGATTATACAGTAACGAATTTAATACTTCAGCTCAATTCAATAACGTAAATATCAGTTTTCTAGAAGTTTTTCATTATTGGTATTTTTTAAATTCAAAATTAAATTTCATTAATCCGGCAAAATCATAATCGTTATAATTTTTATTCTACGACAATTTTTTTATTTGATTATTTCGCGTTAATAGACTTTTAATAAATTATCCTCCGAAAAACAAATATTTAAAAATTTTATTAATATTATATTTTTGTGTCCCAAAACTCTTTATTTATTTTTTAAAAATCGATAGATGTCTAAGTTCTTTGATTATTTTCATCATCTTGCCTCATTTATTTTGCAATCATTTTTCAAGATTATCACATCTGTTGATAGATTGTAGAACGTATTACAAAAGTAATATTGATTATTTACGTCATCCATAATCGAGTTTAATCCGTAGTTCTAAAATTGACAAATCATAACTATTCCTTCGAAAAAATAAATTACTGTAATTGATCAGCATTAAAACTATGGATGTTAAATTTTATTAAGGATGATGTGTAGACATATTCATTGTTTTCGAAGGATTTATTTATTGGTGATTTTTCTTTAAATTTTTTATTATTCATGAACAACCGATATGATAAGTCCGAAAAAAGAATTGTAAAATCTATAGGGTATAAGCATTTAAGGTCTATAGAGTAGATTTAGCATTTTAAAATTTAGAAACTGTCAATAAAATATAATACTCTGTGTTTAATAAAAAATTATAATTCATTGTTTACAGTGAGGGCGCTGGGCGTAGCGGCGACGAAATGAAGCATGCAGCATGCGTAGTAGCAGTGTCACGGCTGCGCGGTCTTGCCTTCAACCCTTGGTGTCCGCCAGCCGCTATCTCGCCGTACATACTCTTTCTGGAGATTCTTTTTACTTCATCGTTGAGGTACACTACATGTCAATTATAAACAATTATCCAAACTATCATTTATCGATCTACATGTCAACAAACAATTATCCAAACTATCATTTATCGATCAAGTAATAAAAAATATAAATTAATTTTTTTTAAATGAGTTAAAGAAGCTAATCATTGAGAAACGAGTAATTCTGTATATATTGTGACGTAACGCTTGGCGATCCGTCACAAGGATCGCGAGATCTGACCGGTAGTATTTTTGGGCCCTCGTTCTCCCCTGATTTAGGAAGAGAGAGCGAATATTGGAGGCGAGGGTAGGCTCACCTCCCCTTATGTAGAGTTAATGATAAAAGTAGAGTTAAGCGGATGTGAGGGAGGACGTTACGAGATCTCATCCGGTGACTCGACCTGGCGCAGAAGACCAGATTAGAAGACGTGTGAGACGAGGCGCCGACTATAAGGAGAATGGCGAGCTAAGTCCCCCTCTCTACTTTTATAAATCGGAAAAAACCTATTCGAAACATCGCTGCCGCTCTTATACATTTCCTTATGCTCAGCAAGTATGAGGAATAATCATGGGGAAGGTCGATCAATAAAAAGCGAACATCGGAACCCCGAAACGGAGCCAACTCGGCCGGATTAAGCGCTACAGGACATCCACAAAAATAATGGCGAGCGGTTTCCGGAAAACTCCTCACACCAGGCTGTGGACAAAAAGTCTCAAAATTAAGACAAAGCAACAGAGTAGCGACAGGCGCAAATACGGCCCTGAAGGCCGCAGGAGTAATTAGAATCACAAAGGCGATCGCGATATTTGATGGCCGGCAGATGCGTTGCGGCATCGACTCGCGTATCTCTGCGACGTGAATCGTTCGATCATTTATTATAGTTTATTGTTCGCGTTTTTGATACTTTATTACTGTTAATTGCTCACGCTCATGTTCGATCGTTTATCTTGTGTAATTACTTATTCGCTCAATTCTTCCGTTATTGCCGCAATTCTGTATTTGTTTGATCGACTCACGTTAATAATCGATTCTATAACTATCGCGTTTGGCGAATTTAACTACTGTTATTATTTAATATTTTTGGCTTACAACAGACGGATGTCATTACTAGAAGCATCATCGCGGTATTCCTTATTAATAATTCAAGCGGAATTTGTAACTGCCGAGACCCTATGACGTCTCGTTTAGCGCAATATTCCAAGACTTTCTTACGCTGCTTTTTCTATCCCATGACACGTGATCGTGCTCGAATGCCGGCCCGTCGCTGCCGGAAAAATCTACCATAATTGATTGTAAAACATCTTATAATATCTACGTGAATCTGTCTCGTGTTGAACTTTATCTATTTGTTAAATATATTCATTCTTATTATTTTAATATTCTGTCTTATTTGCAGCCACCTTTTTGATCCTTCCTTGTTAATTATTAAAACGGACCGCCCTACCATTTTCCGAGACGGGGCTAGCCGAGCGTCTGTCGCGATTAATTGAGTAGCATTTTCCGTGCTTATTATATTGAAGTATCGAATTAATTTTTTTTGAAGTGGTGCGGATTACCGCACCTGGCGCCCAAAAACTTTTGGAGATAAATTTGAGTAGAAATCGCGCCGAAGGTGTGCCGTAGGCCAATAACACCGGCCAGATCTCATTAGCCCTAATTAATAAATTAACCGGTCACAATATTAGTTCAAGAACAGAAATATTATTAGTCTTAATGGCAAGTACAATGTGCCTATACATGTAATATATAAGTATATTTTGTCATAATGCAATAATTGAAATGCGGCATGAAATGTATGTCCTTTAAATATTTTTAAAATATTTTTTAATTTTCGCGCTAATACCATATTTTTGAAAATTAGGGTGTCAATGCTAAGATTAAAATATTGTTTGTAAATATTTAAAGGCCAGAACTATCATTAAAATCTATCAAAATCATGAGAACTACGAGAACTGCCGAAAAAACATAGAAATAGCACCTCATAGTTTTTTAAAATGTAGTGTCAACGATAAGATTAAAAAATTGTTTAAAAATATTTTATTTAAAGGCCGGAACTTTCGTTAAATTCTGTTCAAACGATAAGAACTAATACGACAATTATTGAGAATTACCAAAGAAACGATGGAAATAATTGGCATTCCATAATTCTTGAAAATGCGGTGTCAGCGCTAATGAAACTCTAAAATGAAAAACAAGAAAGTTCTGGCCACATTGTTGGCAAAAAATTATTTAATTATAAAAATAAAGTGCCAATTTCCATATTAAAAAATTATTTAAAAATATTTAGCGATTACTATTGTAAAAATCTATAGAGAAAGAACTATAGGATTTTCTATAGAACTTTTCGAGAACTACAGAATTTTCTAGTTTAAATGGCATATTTCCCATGTTGCAATGCCATTTGCAAGAGAAGTTGGCACCTCATTTTCAGGATGCAATTTTGCCGGAACTATTGAAACCTCAAGAACTATTTGAGTTGCAAATAGAACTTGCATAAAAACTTCCAGTGCCAATAATTAAGACCAACTTTATACATACTAACATGAAACTCATAACTAGGATTCAAAGCATATTTCTTTTTTAGTTTACGTTCTAATACAATCCCAACAAAGGATTTGAAATATTAAACAGACATTATTTGAAATTGGATAAATAAGAAACAATCCATTTACTATCTATTTAAATCAAAATTTCTATATAAATTAGATTCCGAATTTTATAAATTAAATACATATAATTTATTTTATTTATTTAGTTAGTGTAATTCTATATATAATTAATATAATTCTATATAAATCATTTCTATATGGAATATTAGAATGTAATAATGATACATTGTATGAATGTAATAATGATATATTATGTGTTACATTTATAAACACAAAAAAATTCAATTGATCAGTAACATATCAGTAATACTTGTGAATATTAGTTATAACATTTTACTATTTTTATATAATATTAATATAATATTAATATAATAGTTTTTGTAATATAATATTAATATAAATGTTTACATTATACGATGTATAAATGTAGGATTTTATTTACAACTATAGTTTATTTACAACGGTATATAATATAGAATGTAATTATAGAATTAAAGTACATAAGAGTACGTCTCGACTCTTCAAGCAATCGTTAGGATCTGATCTGCTCGAACTGCATTGCTGCAATTCACACTCCTCCTTCTTCATGTATCGTTAGTTATTAAAAAGGACACAAATAATCTGAACAAAACGCAGGATGTTCTAAGAACCGTGCAGGGCGTCCGAAAAAGGACACACGCGGAAAACATAACGCAGTGTGAGACGCTTCGAGTTTTAGTGCTATGTGATCGTGTGTAATACGTGATCGGGCTGTCAGCATATGCACTCATAAAATATCCTACATTTCGGTCGTCCTTCCAGACATTCGCCCTCGAATGTCACGTTCACGATTGTTCCTAAGTTGTAAACTTTCTCTTTTTTGTCTTCACTCTCCATTTTATCTAAATCATCGAAATACAGCCAGGGTTTCATATGATCAGCGGATGTTGAGGTTTTCTGTGGTCTTTCATGGTTGCCTACTTTCATAACTACGTATGGATCGTTACTTTAATTACGCGATACTGACCTAGAAAGAATACTTTAACTACGCGATAATGACGCTAGAAAGAATTTACTACGAAATTTAAGTGGATCAAACTGTATGCGCTTAATTGCGACAAAATTTCCGTATTTCAACGTTATCTTCCGTTTTTTATTAAAGTTTTTTACATTTTCTTTTTGTATTATACTTTGACGATTTTTTTTCTAGCTTCTCGTTTAACATCGTCGCGGTCTTCTTCGAATATTCGCGTCCATTCATTTTCGAGCATCTCACGTACTTGTGAGTCTTCTTTTAAACGCATATGAATACCGAACATCAGTTCGAACGGTGAACCGGCTTTTATTTGACGTAGAATTTAGGTATTTTTCAATTTAGATTTTTTTGAGCAACATCAAGATATTAAAATCATTATTCCGGTCTTGGAGCTGACAATTTTGTTAATAGTGGTATGAAGGTACGATTCACCCTTTCGACTTGTCCTTTATCTCTAGGTACTCCGGTAGTCATTAAAAGATGTTGGATATTCTCCGTGCTACAATATTCTTTAAACATGCCGAACGTAAATAAAACATGCTGCGCCGCAATCTCATATAATTCTATATAGATTTCCAAGCACAATAGACTGTTTACGTAAACGATCAATTATTTCGACAGCGTCGGTTGGTTTCGTAGCGTATAACCACACGAATTTACTAAACGCATCAATTACAACAAAAATATGGCGGTAATTCTTTTTGTACTTGGCATCGAACCTAGATGATCTACGTGATACGTATGTAATGATACGTCTCCTTTATCAATTACATTTAAAAATCTTTTCTGTTTACCTTGCTTTCGTTCTGCTAGAATACAATTTATACAGCTCATTATAACCTTTTCGATCTTCGACCGCATATTCTTAAATCAATAGTCTCTACGTACTAACGTTTCCGTTTTTTTAACACCGGAATGCCCTTGTTCATGTGCTTAACTAATTATCGAAGTTTGCAATATCTTAGATATTACTAATAATAATTCGCTATTATCATCTCTATATAATAAATCGCTTCTTAATATGTATTCGTCGGCTTTATTAAATGTCGCTAACTTAATAATCTTCTATAGATATCTTGATCGGTACTCTGAGCTTTTTTAAATTTGGCAACGGTTTAATAACTGTCGTTACTTTTGCTGACAAGTAGAATTTTTAGAAGAGGATTTCTACTTAACGGGTCTACATGCATCATATTCTTTCTTGGTCTATATTGAATCTCGTAATCGTATTCTTCTAAGGCCAGAGCCCACCGAGCTACACCAACGCATAAATCTTTTTTATTCATTGTGAGAATAAACGCCTTACAGTCATTGATGATTTTGAAGCGAATACCCAACAGATATACTCGGAACTTTTTCAACGCTTTAACGACTGCAAGTACTTCGAGCTCATAG